ATTTTACAAGTTGGAATATCTTGAGGAAATTTGAAAAAATTACTCGTAATGTTATTGCATAACTGTTATTCATAAAGCACATTTATCATGCGAAACAACGCATGCGGAAACGTGGACAAAAAATTTTCGCTGAAAAATTCGCCGGTGATCGCTGCAAAATTCATCGTACCAAATGTAACCAATAAATATTCCTCCACAAAGATTGACACTCAACACACACTTCAACTCTGTTGCACGGTTTCCCCAGAATAAACACCTCTTTCCACTACCGCGAAGCAAAACCAGGAACACGTGAAGTAATAAATAAAATAAAAAATCAAAAAAAAAAAAAAAGAAGACCGAAAACACGTTACAACCTATCTATTTTTCACTACTATCTTTTCGTTTCTATTCTCTTCTCTTTTTCAAGAACAGCACAAAAAAATTTAAATGAATCGAAAACCTTCGATCAAGTCGAACCCCGCGTCGCTGCTTCGCGTTATTGAGAACGGAGCTTCGATTGAATACAAGGCAGCAAAAAAATATCGTACGACAAATCTCGTTCGTCGACAGAGAAAAAGGGGAGAGAAAGAGAGAGGCTTTTGCTTCCTGGTTTCATCGAATCAGCCCCATAACCTCGTTGTCACGGGGCAAACGTGTATCGAGCAGAGAGTCCGCAAATGGACTCTTTCCTCTCCATTTTTTTCATTTTCCTCTCTGGTTTTTTCTCCTTTTTTTCCTTTTTTTTTCTCGTTTCGCCGATAAATCAGAAACGACGAGAAAATCACACGGTTCGTCGAGCACGTTTAACACCGCGACGAACAACGCCAAGGACATTAAGAGGTCTATTAGATGGACCAGACACTCTCGAGGATTTGGCAGAGAATCGTCTTACCATAATCGGACCTCGAGAGAGCTCGACGCGTGGCCAATTTGACCAGATAAACGAGTCGGCCAACGGAAAGGTGTCAAGCTTGAAATTAGGGCGTTGCAACGAAAAGTGCTATTTTTCTATCTGTTTCTTTTTTGGCGGTAGAATTAGGGGATGCGTCATGGTTCGTGGCTCGGTGGCTAGAAAACTCTTATTTTTAGGGTTCAGTGATGCTGAATTATAGAGACGAAGAACTAGCTTTACGTTTTAATTTAAATCATAATAGATCTAACGGAGATATCAACTATCACAGAAATTAACCCTTTATAATACTATGTGATTTGAAAGTTATGTACCTATATTTTATAAGTCTATTGCCAGCAAATTTCATTATAATAATGTAGGAACCTAGGGAAAAATATCGAGGGACCCAACGGGAATCGAACCCGGGACCTACGGCTTAGCAAGCCGAGGTTTTGCGCGCTACGCCAACCACTCCCTCTCTATTCTCCCTTCGAGGTTTCCTGTTTAGGTATGGAGGCCCCGATACTACAATATCTATTAATCTTTGCTTTTAAAATTAAAATGTAAAATTATGTTGAAATTATAGAATCAGGATCAAAGAAAAATCGGGTTATAAAGGGTTAAATTTCGAGAGTTAGAATGAAGTTTTATCCTTTTTTATAATAGACTGTTTACAGGTATCGTAGAAGTTGCAGTCGTCAGATTAATCAGTGTTACAACGGATGAAATTTTAAAGTACTTACATCTCCCTTTTCCGGAACGTACTTGGCCAGCCAGCCCCAAAGGATGCCAAATCCCAGACCTCCGACGATCGCGATGGGACCCTGAAGGATCTGGTACCACAGTGCATCGTGGGAAAACATGATACTCTTTATGATCCCGTGAATCGCGACCGATGCTGCGTCATCGATTCCAGACACGGCGATGATCAAGGTCGGAATGCCCTGCGAAAATTAATAAATGGTCAATAATGAAAAAAGAAAAAAACCTTTAAAAACATTATACTCTTATAAATAGTGTCCGAATATTGGTGAGAGTAACTGTGCGTCAAATTTGGGATGAAAAAGTGAAAGGATTTGGGAGTTGATAGAGAAATTTAATTTTCTATACAACTACAGAGAAGATATCTTATTTTTTAGCTATGGAAATAGAAACGCATTTCAAACCTAAGCCACGTTACGTTCCCCAAGCTGGCCAAATAACGAAGAAAAGAATCATTGGCCATCCCCTAGAAGCAATCTTTTCACCGAGTTTGATCACCGCGAACATCTTCCTGACACGAATTGACGGCTTCCGTATTTCTCATTCTCATCCCCCCGCCGCCGCCGGCAAATCTGGCCTTATTTTCCAACGGCGCCTACCAACATCCGTGATTCGCGAAAATCTCATTATCGGCCGCAATCAGATTCCTTCGTGGCAACTTCAAAAACCATTAGGGGAACTTTCAGCCGGAATCGTTCGAGGTCAGTGAAAATAATCCTCTGTCAGATTGAAATAGGAAGGGAAGAGGAATTGAGAAATCGAGAAAAATGAAACGAAAGGAATTAGGAGGAGGGTGGAGAGAGAGACAGAGAGAGGTTCTAACGAGACCACATTCGTGATTCTTTCGAAAAGCTATCCAACCACGATGGCTCGTACGGGATTTAAGTTCGACGATCATTGTCGTGGCTCTCGAATCGAATCGCGGTGAACTGGTCCCTCGATAAACGTTCCAGCCAGTCAGCGATTCTTGGGACGCTTTTATTTCGACGCATGTTTCTCTGGTTTACGGTTACTCGAGAAGAGATACTGCATGTTTCTTGGATTTTCAAGCAAAGTAGATCGATGTACTCTTTCAAACGCACGAACGTTTAACGAAATGTATGAAAATCGATTATTGGGTATTTAACGAATACGGTACAGTGCTGAATCAGAATTAATCCACGATTTGATAGAAAGTATGATAAAGAGAATAAAAGTAGCAGGAGACAACAAAGGCAAATGGACAAAATATTAGTATACTTTCGTATAACAAAAATTATTACTATACAAAATTGTAAACATGGTATCTACAGATCTGTTTTTATTAAATTCATTGTATATTGTTATTAAAAATGAAAGAAGTGTTTCTTTCTAAATATGTAAAATACTCGACTATATTATTTTAGTCGTTTGTACCCGATTATTTAGTGTAAAATATAGTATTTCAGTGATAACTTAGAAAAATCTTCGAACACTATCTAAACTTGCCCTTCCAATCGTGTATAATATTTTGGTTAATTATAAAAAAAAAACTCTTATTTAAAATTATCACTACGTTAACCCTTTCGTGACAGAATTATTTTTCCAAAAAATTTGCCATTTACCCATCGATCATCATCTCCAGCGGATACTAAATTCACGTCAATTTTTCTTCGATTATTTAAGTGTAACATGTCAAAAAAAAAAAAAACTACTAAATCTAGCCTTTTTATTATACCACTTTGCTCCCATAAAGAAATGCTTGTACGACGATACGTATCTGGAAAACACTCCGAATTTCCACCGTACTTTCGCATATCTCAAGACGGTCGAATCCACAACAAAGCGACTTCAATTTAAACATAAACCCAAACAGTAGAGACGTCTTTCCTCGCATCGCAGTATACTTCTCCGCGAGCGTAGAAATTTCCTCGAGGAACGAGTTCTGTTTAGGAAAACAAGGAAGAGCATCTTTCCCATAACTCAGTAGTGAAAAAGGAACGAGGATAGAGAGAAAGGATTCGACACTTTTTCACAGAGCTACCGATCTTCCTCTCGCTCTCTCGTTTTTCTCTCCACTTCGAAACAATGACCGTATGAAAAAGCTCCCTTTGATCTCGCGGATAATGCGAATTACCTAGCACATTCCCGACAGAACGTTCAATTTCTTTTGGGCAGTGCGCGCGACTTGTCCTCCGCCACAGGCCGAGAAATAAACAAAAAGCCCCGTCTAGATCTTTCAGCTCATGAATATCACATTCCCGGGAGTGGCCTTTGCACTCTTCAAACAGCTTCCACTCCATTTTCTAAACTGAATTATTTAAGTCCCCACCCTCTGCTTCATCTCTCATCCGAAGCTCACTCTTTCGTCCATCCTCGCTACTATTTCTAACATTATCATTTTAAGTAGAACTGCATCGTTGCACCACGTTAAATCTGCTCCGTTGGTAGACTTCCGGTCTATGGGACCGTTGCAACGTCTGACACGCGGATTGTCCTTAATCTTCTGCTAACGTTTCTTATCTGGTGAGAATGTTCATGGTTTTCCAGATGCTAGTTCCGCCGGTTAGTGGAAATTAGTGTGTATACTATTAGGTGTACGAATTAATTTGGTGCCTTCTTTCACAAACTTCAATGTCTATTTACCAAAAATGAAAGTCACAGTTTGAACTTCCAAAATAATCTCAGTTATTTTTGGATACGAATTCTTATAATTTGTGCACTTAATAATACATATTTATTTTGTAAATAAAAAAATACTACACAATACTTTGAACACCTTATAATCGTATACTAAAAATTCTTTTCGATCGAATTTATATCTTCCGAGAAAAAAATTTCCGAAGAAAACCACCTTTATCCAGGCTTGCAAACGAGAATACCTGCTTAACCCTTTCGTCACTGAATTCTTTTGGGAAGAATTTCAGGTTTTATCATTCGATCATCGTGCGTGTAATGCATACTAAATTCAGGTCAATTTTTGTTAGAGTATTCAAGTGGGATTTATGTGATCACGAAAGGATTAAATTTCAAAGAAAAATAAAATAAACAAATGTGTGAAAGAAGGCACTTTGTTTGCCTAATTAAATTGTTTCATTATGTACACTACATTTTTTTTAATCGAAAATAATTGAAGCTCCAACCAACATATTTGTTAGTTAAATTAATACCTTACGAAAGATCTGTTTCTTGTTCGTACCAGCATGTAGAATAGTTTCTAATTAATTTAACAAGAAATCAATAGTTTAGAAAAAGATTGTTCGACAGTGTGTTCAATATGCACATTCGTCGTTTAACCTACTTTACGTGTCGAGTAATCATACACTTTTTATTTTCGTCTGCAGTTTTCAGGGAATGTAGGACGCTCGTCGTCTGAACACGAAATATGTTTTTTCGACAACTTCGTTATTTCTCAATGCACTCTTGTAATTAATAGGAAACGTAATGTGGATCATATGCTGATGAAGTGCCCTTAATGATGCCCGCATGCTTGAAACTCACAAAAATATGCGATTCCTCGCAAATTGTTGAAATACTTGCAAATAATTCGTAGATTGAAAGATTGATTTAATCACAATTATATTTGAGTAAAAAAGTAAGTATTGCCCATTTTTCTAATTATCAACAACATCTTACAATTTATCCTTTAAGCTACCTAATATTTATATTTATTTCCAATAATACGCAATATTTGATTAATTTTTCACGCGCAGAAAGATAAAACGCGTTGCTCTAAACAAATCGATACACATTCCATTCTTAACTTTCCACGATGATTAATATTTTATTGTTCCTTTCACAAAGTTGATTTACAAAGTTTTGCTGGATTTTCTCGCTCCGAACAAAGGTCGCAATTTTCATTTTTATTTCTGCCACAATCTAATTTCTTTCCCTCGAAATAATTCCTAATCGAGAATTTGCATTAATCACGCAGTAAAGAATATAATTATTTCCTTTAATACTTTTTCCTTGTGAAATTTCTTACTAATTTCAATTTATTAATATTTCTTACCTCTTACAAATTTCATTTGATTAATATGTAAAATTAGAACTAAAAAAATTACTCTTCATACAAAGAATATTAATAATTTTCGTTAATACTTTTTTCTTCTTACAAAGTTTCATACTAATCTCAATTTATCAATATTTCTGTGCTAACTTTCACGAATGTAGTTTGATTAATACTTAAAATATGACAGAAGAAAATTATTCTCCATTCAAAGAATATCAATAATTTTCTTTAACACGTTGACTGCCAAGCCTATTTCGAAGAAATCTGTTCTAAACGCAAATTAATTTTTATATTATGACTTTAATTTTAATTGTTTTCTTGCAAAAAAATGCATATCATTAAAATTTGCTCTTATTGTCTTGTTTACTTTCATTTTTTTATATTTCGATAATCTTGTAAAAAGTAATAAATAAATCCTTTTCACGACGCTTTTTTGTTAGTAATGAACCTTTAACAAACGCCCATCCCACAGAATTCCTATGCGTTTACAACGTCTTAACACGCGGTGGGCACCGAAAAGTTATACTGTAAAAACGAGATAACTCGTGGTGGGCGTCTACCAGCAAACTCTACCAGATAACTCGTGGTTGGCAGTCAACGTGTTAATATTTTTTCCTTCCTATAAAGTTTCATACTAACCTCAATTTATCAATATTTCTCTGTTACCTCACGAATTTAATTTGACTAATATGTGAAATTTGACCGAAAAAGAATTACTTTCTATACAAAGAATATTAATAATTTTCTTTAATACTTTTTCCTTCCTATAAAGTTTCATACTAACCTCAATTTATCAATATTTCTCTGTTACCCCACGAATTTAATTCGATTAATATGTGAAATTCAACCTAAAAAGGAATTACTCTCCATGCGTCAATATTTCACAAGATGATCTCGATTACCTCGCACGATAAACCAATATCAGTCGAAATTCGTCAAATCGGTGCTGGCACACGGGACAAGTAGTCACAGGTCGTTATGGTCAGACGCTTACGGTACTGAATTAGCCATTCATGGAAATTCCCTCGCGCCACTCCAAGATTTGATGAATACACCGATTTGTCAATAAGAACTGTTACTGACAGGCCATTCTGGAGGCGAGGATACGCCTTGCGAATAAAGGCTGTCGTCTGAATATCGATTACTCGGCCATCAACAGACGATATTTTTGACAGCCTTTATATAAGAGACCGTTCCAAGGATCCCCCGATC